GATGTGGCTTCAAATCTGCGTGAAAAGGCGCTGGCTTTAGGTATGAGTTTAATAAGCGCTACCACCTTTCTCACCAGAATTGACGAAAACTTTTATAGGGATGTTATTTGACATCCTGATCACTAACGTGACATCCGTTTCTGATCTTGGAGCGGCTTCGCGCCAGAAGGCGCCAATTTGGAGCAACCACCTTTTTGACAGCAATCAATGAAACTTTTCATAATAGGGCTTATACCCTTATTGTCAAGATGAGGTGCACTTTTCGATATCAACACAAGTTAGAGCTCCTTCCAGGCTGATCCTGCCTGGCAGAAGGAGTGATTCTTTTCCTCTCAGGCTTAGCCCTAGTTAAGTGCAGATGATCAGAGTCTCTTCATAGGCGCTGCTGCCAAGAATGAATGTACAGTCCTCTTCATTGCAGACCGGTGGGGCGGGTGAGCCGCGCTGCGCGTGACGCGGCTCAGCCGCCCCACCGGTCTGCAATGAAGAGGACTGCATGTCATAATGTCATGTTCGTGATTAGCATGTGTAATAACCCCCATATGCAAAATTTCATCGATTTCAATGAGAAAAGGTGATGAACGGCGTCTAAAAAGACGTGATGCCCGTAGTCAGGATGTCGTGTGATCCCCATGTACAATTTTACATCGGTTTCGTGAGGTAGATGATGGCGTCAAATGATCGTGGTCAGGGCCGCGAATAACCTCCGTGGGCAAAGTTTTAGCGGATTTTTTTTGAGTCCTTGGAGCAGCATTAGTGAAATAGTGCCAAAAAATTTCAAAGTCTGAAAAGCTGCAAGTCTATTCTCAGGGGCACTCTGACCTCCTGAGAACGAACATCGTATCTGCTCAGTACGGAAACGCATGGCTCCCAATAGGCTCTGAAGCATAAAAAGTCCAAAGTCACAAAAAACCCTTTTAAAATTGCAATAGGAACATGGAAGACGGATTTGTAATTACGGTCCACCAATAGGTATACATCTCAGTGCGAGCGCTTACTTTAGCACCCTACCCTTGTGATTTTATTAGGTTGGCTAATAAGTAATGGCGTTTTTTCAATTGAAAAATTTGTTCGAAAAGTGAAACGTTTTGCAAGCAAGTTATATATCATCTGATAGGAAACTTCTCGTAGTATAAGAATATCAAAAAAGCTTTGGTTGAGGATATAGTTTTTGTGAATTTTTTAGTCGTTGAAGTTGGAAGTGAAGTCGGCGAAAATTAGCATCTTCGACAACTGCCTCTATTTAGAAATTTCATGCTAATAGTTGAATTAAATTGAATTTGATATTCTAATACTACGAGAAGTTTGCTATTAAACGATATTAAGCTTGCTTGCAAAACTTTTCACTTTTGAAACAAATTTTTCAATTGAAAAAAACGGCCATTACTTATTAGCCAGCCCACTAGCAGTTATTAGCCAGCCCACTAGCAGTGGGCTGGCTAATAAGTAATGGCCGTTTTTTTCAATCGAAAAATTTGTTCCAAAAGTGAAAAGTTTTGCAAGCAAGCTTAATATCGTTTAATAGCAAACTTCTCGTAGTATTAGAATATCAAATTCAAATTCAATTAATTCAACTATTAGCATGAAATTTCAGGTGGAACAGACGTGAGCCTGCCCAATATTGGCAAGGTGAAGGTTGCCAACTTTGAAATTCTTGAAATTAGTTCCAAAGCGTCCTATTGAGATTCCCTTGCTGAGACTTCTACCTCAACCTTTTCCGAATGTATGGAGCAGCTTAAGCGATTTTAGCACTTCGAGTAGACGTAAATAGAGGCAGTTGTCGAAGATGCTAATTTTCGCCGACTTCACTTCCAACTTCAACGACTAAAAAATTCACAAAAACTATATCCTCAACCAAAGCTTTTTTGATATTCTTATACTACGAAAAGTTTCCTATCAGATGACACTTTTCGAACAAATTTTTCAATTGAAAAAAACCGCCATTACTTATTAGCCAACCTAATAGTTCCAAGTGCCATTCCAAATTTTTTGTGGTGCTTAATGAAAGTCGTGGCCGTTCTTTAAGCAAGTGTAGCACTTAGAGACACTTCCGTCGTCGTCGTAGACGAAGGGATTTCAAACATAAATTTCAGGGTGTCAATCAACGTATCATGGAAAAGAAAGGGAAGCAGCCCGCCGGAAACGGCACAACTGAGATCCGATTGAATTCAGTGTTGGGATGCAATGAGACGCAACACACCGTGAGAGGAAGAGAGACAGCACAACCGCAGTGAGGGGACTCTCTTAAAGAGGACTGCGCCCAGTTCCCTCCTACTATGGAACCTCACGCATAATTTAACTCTTCAACAGAGTGGCGTGATCCTGGGTCATTGATGTCGTCCTAACATCATACCAGAAATTAAGTCAATTGAAATACCACACAATTAATATAAACTACATAAACAGCACGATGTTCATGAAATTGCAAACAAGAGCTGAATAGCTAGACTGAATAGCTAGACTGAATAAGATGAATCTGACGAAAGCGTAGTGAGTAAAGTTGACGAAAAGTAAATCTGAATCAGGAGAAAGAGCAAGTAAAAGACTCAGTAGAACTGTCGAATAAAATTCTGCGTGAATAATTGAATGCTAAGGATAAGGACCCAGCCAAAGACTACCAGGAAAATAATTCAAAGAAGCGTAGGAAGAAGGAACTGTGCTGAATCGCTGCCGAGGTTGAGGAGTTGAATGACTTCACCGCTGGCTTGTCCGCAACTTGTGCACGTTTTTGTTCGCCTCGCATCTTACGTGCATCAAGCGAGCATTCCCTTGATTGCTCGTCGTGCTATGAACAGTTATAAATTTAGTCTATCTCATCTCACTCTAACTCACTCACTCACTCCATCTAAAGTCACATGAGTGGTAGAGAAATAATGAGAAAAAATAACTGAATAAGCTTGAAGTTTCAGAGCAGATAATGTGAACTCCGTTACTCTGGAAGACGACGTCTCTGTCACTCCGCCGCAGCCACTGGTCGCTGCGTCTCGTTCAGTCTACTGGTTTTATTTTTGTCTTCTCATCGCACTTATCCCACAGCTTTCAACGTTTTTTCGTGCTGGTCTTCTAAGATTTGAGATATAGCAGAGCACAGAACTGTGATCGTGAAATGTGAAATGTGAAATGGATGAGTTTGTAATTAAAATGCGAAATTTTTGAAATTTTGATGAAAACTCAAATTTGAAATAAGAGAAAATTTTCTAGAACGGCAGTCCTTATAAACCTTCTGCCGAACAGCGAACCACGGGAAAAAATACTGAGACTGATCAATACAGAGACTGATCAATGCCCTGACACTTCGGTGGGATAACTACTTAGGAGGTCGATTGACCGCTGACAGGGCAGATAGCCGGGGAAAACTGCGAAAGGTTGTAGAAAGTTGCACGAGGTGATTTTTACATGAATAGATAGAATTTTTCATGGGGATTCGAATGGTGTGACTTTGACTGGGATTTTCTTCCTTTGGAAAAAGCGTAAATTTTGCTTTGAAATGAAGTCGCGAAGTTGGCACCCGATAACAACAACCAGTCTAAAATACGCCACTGTTTTCCACCAAGTTGTTGAAAAGCACAGAACGTTCTGTAGGCGGCTTTTTTATGGAACATCTGGGGCCACTCAAAGTGCCTGAAATCCTGTTTGAAAACGCTGAAAATCGAGCATTTGTTCTAGTATCGCACGAAGTGCCCATTTCAAGTAGTTGAAAAAACCTTCTTTTTGACTTCATTCTTGGAATTCGCGAACATTAGGGAAAACAGGGCTCCATACATTAGGCACGTTGTGCTAGTGTGGTCCGAACTGAACCACAGCTCGAGATTTTCCGGACTGAAAAGGCTATATCGTCCAGAAGTGACATCGAGCGAAACCCCTCAATTTTCAGGAAAATTGGCACCAAAATGATCAGCAGCATTTGGGAAACACAACTATCTAGTTTTTAATCACTTCTCACGCGATACAGTACGTTATTTGATGCCACAATGATTTAATTCCCAACGTTTACCCTCAGGTTACAATTATAGCGAGACTCGCTCGCTAACGAGTGTCCTCAGGTACTTCGATAGGAAGCACAGTTCAATTTTCGACTTTTTTTAGTTTTTTAGGATGCCAGCTTATAGAACTCGACGAGCTGAGTCTAACAGTATAGGTTTCTATATTAGAATAGTTACAGCAAAAAAACGCGGATCTGCGTTCTTTCGTTTTTTTTCGAACAATTCCAGCGGGTATTGTACTTCCAAGCTATTCGTCATATTTTAAGGAGCCAATGTGAGCTTTCCAAGATCGTTGGCTATGAATCAGATACTGTTCCTCAAGCCGATTCAAACCGGAAATCAAGGAAAGAGTGGTCAGTGAACCATGATTTTCAGCTGAACCTTGCTGAAACCCTGTCATGAAAAGTATCAAAATGATCACGGAATCATGCCCTCTCTGAATATGCTGGTATTTATGGCTTTGTGGCACTTGGTTTGAAGTTCATAATTGGACTGGAGGGTTTACGACGCAGCCGTGTCTGCAGGTAACACCTTGGGTCACTGGAGACTCAAACGTCAATTTCCTTGGGAAAAACGTCAAAAAATTGAAGGAAAGTGGAAGCTCCATACATCGTTGGATTCGCCTTGTACAGGGCTATCGGATGGTCTGAATTTCAGATCATTTGGACCTCTTCTACAGAAGTTATGGCAAAACGACGGTTTGCGACGGAAAAATCTGTCGCAAACCGTCGATTGACCACAAATTATGAGCGGTATTGTAGTGTAAACTGGTGCCACAGAGCATATGCGGTTCTACTGTTAGTGTTGCACCCTGGGTGAAAATCGTATACAAGAAATGCTTCATGTTAATTGTATAGCATCCACTAGTCCCACAAGAGTATCATTATCTCGGCATACATCTACTCGAGCTCGTCCGTTATTCATTATTCAGACGAAATTTTTTTATGGATCTGATAGTGACAGTGTATGCCACCAATCTTGAAACACTACCGCTTTTCGTCCTTCTGATTTTTAGATATGGATCAGTTCTATGCTGTGCGATGTAGTGAAGCACGTGATTGTATAAAGCGGTCTTCAGTTCGTTTCCCGTTATCCTCTGCGTTTTCGCTGACTATGTACCAGCGAAAAATAGAGAAAAGACAGCTATAAGTTCATCTCCATCTCCTTCTTCGTGCTGAAAGACACAAGCCTATCAAACCAAAAATGGCCACTAGGATCATTCCAATCCTTCGGTGGCACAGTCTGCTGAGTTCTGGAGGGAGAATTCTTCCCAAACTACACAGAATATTCTTTATATTCCAAATGCTCGAGTATTTTTGGATACTCGCTCGTCTTCTGAGGAAACGTCACTATGATGTCACGCGGTGGCCAGCGAAGGTGGTGTGGCACCGTTCAAAGTCTTTAGCCAGCTCGCGGGTGCTTCCAGACCGTAATTGGTTTTCCAAGTGAAAGTCCCCGTTTTTCGTCTGGCGAATAAAACTTTCACTCTGTCGTAGGAAACACTGAGCACCCATCGCATCCAGTCTCTTATTTTTCAAGACTTTTGCAATACTTTACTCGTGATGTGGAAGCAGTCGAGTTTGTCTGTAGTCAAGAACGACTTTCACTGCCATATTCGTAACGTAATGTCCAAGGATAGTGATAGGTTTTAGGTTGTCCGAAAACTTCTCAGCGTTTAGTGTTACTATATTTTCTACATTCATTGACTTGCGCTATCTGATGGTGTAATTGCCGTTTCACCATTGCTTGATAAACCCCCTTTTCCCAAGACTTTTTGAAGCATGTCAAAAGAGCAACTTCGGACGATATTTTTCTTCAACTACAAATTGGGTCAATCCGCAGTCGAGACAGCTCGACAAATTAACCAGGTGTGGGGGCCCAATAGTGTTGGAGAAAGCACCGTGCGACAATGGTTCGACAAATTTCGTTCTGGAGATTTCAGCCTTGAAGATGAACCTCGTAGCGGTCGACCTAAAGCAATACCTGACGAGGATTTGAAGGCGTTTGTGGAGGCTGACCCATCCCAAACAGTTCGAGAGATTGCAGAAAAGCTAGGCGTTGGCAAATCCACTGTTGCGGAAAGTGGATTTGCCAACGCCTAGCGTCTGAAACGCATTGGGAAGGTGAAAAAACTCGACAAGTGGGTGCCCCACAATTTGAGTGACCGGCAGAAATTGGCACGTCTCGAGGTTTCTTCTTCACTGCTTTTGCGCAACAGAAACGACCCGTTTTGGACCGAATTGTGATGAAAAGTGGATCATGTATGATAACAGGAGACGTTCCGGACAGTGGTTGGATGCCGACGAACCACCGAGGCAATTTCCAAAGCCGAATCCTCACGAAAAAAAGATTATGGTCACAGTGTGGTGGTCATCGGCTTATAACTTTTTGGCACTAGGCCATCACAGCAGAGTCCTACTGTGAGTGAATCACCGAAAATTGCGTCAGCTGCAGCCAGCACTTGTCAACAGAAAGGGTCCGATTCTTCTGCATGACAACGCCCGCCCACACGTTTCACAAATCACTATCCATAAATTGAAGTTCTACCTCACATATTCTCCAGACCTTTCACCAACCGACTATCACCTTTTCAAACATTTTCAGAACTTCCTTGCTGGAAAATACTTCATCAATCAGGACCAGGCAAAAAAGCCTTCGTGGATTTCGTTCTCGACCACCCAGTTTTTTTTTCTTTGATGGGATTTCTCGACTGCTTCACATTGGCAAAAGTGTGCTGATTCGAATGGTGCTTATTTGGATTAAATCCGATGAGTATTAAGAAAGTTATGATCGTTTAAAGTGAAACACCCAAAACGCTGAGAACTTTCCGGACAACCTAATATATGTAAGCCATAGGTCGGCCTACATATAAGTTGTTGATAAAAGGCTTCAGAACACCGCCAAAAAACTTGACAAGTGCCAGTTTTGAACAAGCTGACAGACACGTTCACATTCGTATGTTTTACCAGCTCTTTTGAGGTAGTTTCCCCCAAGCACACCATTGCATTTCGAATACTCTTGGGTTCCCTCCCATTGACATATCCAGATCTTCTATCGTCTCCGTGGAGTTCTGGGCTATCAGAGGCAAAACTCGAATCTTGAAATGCGTTGCCTTATCGTTCTAAAAGCTAGTCATCTTCTCGGGTGGATTTCGAACTCTTAAAAATAACTTCTAGGACCGCTTTCTATTCAGGCAGTGCGACTTGACTCGTCCTGTGGGAAATGAACGTAACGGCTTTCAGCTCTTTCTTTAACTACGTCCATAGATTCTGGTGCACTGCTATGTCGATAGCACCTCGTTCAACTTAGTTCTTCTGCTTCGCCTTCGCCCTAGTCCATACTGTTATTGTCTGTTACTGTTCCTGCCCTAGTATTAAATCGTCCTGGAGAACTGAGAGATTTCACGCCACCATTCAGCAACCCGTTGCTGACCTTAATACACTTATCCGGCGTGAACGGCATTGTATTACCGATTTTTAAGCTGGGTCCCGCCCAGCTTGGTGCATGCCATGCCCACCACTTCATTCTATTGTGCCTCCCTCCTTCCATCCGGTGACCCGTCGCTAACCTGAATACAGTACTCTTTCTTTGGTATCTAGAGTGCTCTGGAATTTATTTGTAGATTCTTAGGTTGAGCCCCGCCTAACTTGGCGCACGCTCCGCCCACTCCAGGTGTGCCTCCCTCCTTCCATCCGGTGACCCTCACTGACCTGAATACAATACACTTTTTCTGTGTTTAGAATGCCCTTTTTCACTGCCCTTTTTCAGTTTAGAACAGAAGCGTTTTACAGATTTTTCTGTTTGGTTCGGCCTACCTCGGCACAAGCTCTGCTCACAAGACATATGTCCCACACTTCTCAGTTGGTGATCCCTCGATCCCTATCATGTACCACCTCACCGCGGTGATAGGGTGTACACCACTAATGGTGGCCAACGGTACAAACGGCTACGCAGTACGCACAGTAATGTGTGTATGGGCGGCTTTCTTGTATCCCTAGCAAGGAACAAGGGAGTAACCGGGTGTGGAGACATTGTTGGGCGGGTATACGGTAAGTTTACTGTAGAATAGGGCGGAGCCTATCTCGCCCTTTTAATTATCGCCTGGGGTGTGACCTCATTAAGTTGCATGAGGCGACTGCTGACCTCAGCGGCTCTAATGCGAATACAATATCGAGTTGAACGATTAAATGAAACACTTTATTACGTCTTAATATTATTATAATTATCGTTATTATTAGGTTGTCCGGAAAGTTCTCAGCGTTTTGGGTGTTTCACTTTAAACGATCGTAACTTTTTTAATACTCATCGGATTTAATCGAAATAGGCACCATTCGAATCAGCACACTTTTGCCAATGTGACAGTGATCCCATCAAAGTAAAAAACTGGGTGGTCGAAAATTCACGAAATTAAGGCTTTTTTGCCTAGTCCTGATCTCAGTAGCACATTCTGTAGAGAATTTCTTGCGCTATCTGATGGTATAATTGCCGTTTCACCATTGCTTGATAAACCCCCTTTTTTCAAGATTTTTTCAAGCATGTGAAAAGAGCACTTCGGACGATTTTTTTCTTCGACTATAAATTGGGGCAATCCGCAATCGAAACAAATTAACCAGGTGTGGGGGCCCAATAGTGCTAGAGAAAGCACTGTGCGGCAATGGCTCAACAAATTTCGTTCTGGAGATTTCAGCCTTGAAGATGAACCTCGTAGCGGTCGACCTAAAGCAATACCTGACGAAGATTTGAAGGCATTTGTGGAGGGTGACCCATCCCAAACAGTTCGAGAGATTGCAGAAAAGCTAGGCGTTGGCAAATCCACTGTTGCGGATGGTCTGAAACGCATTGGGAAGGTGAAAAAACTCGACAATTGGGTGCCCCACAATCGGAGTGACCGGCAGGAATCGGCACGTCTCGAGGTTCCTTCTGCATTGCTTTTGCGCAGCAGAAACGACCTGTTTTTGGGCCGAATTGTCACCTGTGATGAAAAATGGGTCATGTATGATAACAGGAGACGTTCCGGACAGTGGTTGGATTTCGACGAACCACCGAGGTAATTTTCAAAGCCGAACCCTCACGAAAAAAGATTCTGGTCACGGCTTGGTGGTCATCGGCTGGTGTGATCCACTATAACTTTTTATCACCAGGCCAAACCATCACAGCAGAACCCTACTGTGAAGAAATCGACGAATTGTACCGAAAAATGCGTCAGCTGCAGCCAGCACTAACAGAAAGGGTCCGATTCTTCTGCATGACAACGCCCACCCACACGTTTCACAAGTCACCATCCATAAATTGAACGAATTGGGGGTTGAAGTTCTACCTCAACCGCCATTATTCCAGACCTTCCACCAACTGACCGTCACCGTTTTAAACATTTCCAGAACTTCCTTGCTGGAAAATACTTCATCAATCAGGACCAGGCAAAAAAGCCTTCGTGGATTCTCGACCACCCAGTTTTTTACTTTGATGGGATTTCTCGACTGCTGTCACATTGGCAAAAGTGTGCTGATTCGAATGGTGCCTATTTCGATTAAATTCGATGAGTATTAAAAAAGTTACGATCGTTCATTTAATCTTTCAACTCAATATTGTATTCACATTAGAGCCGCTGAGGTCAGCAGTCGCCTCATGCAACTTAATGAGGTCACACCCCAGGCGAGACAGCAGTCGCCGCATGCAACTTAATGAGGTCACCCAGGCGTACGCGCAGTCGTATCATTAAAAGGGCGAGATAGGCTCCGCCCTATTCTACAGTAAACTTACCCGCCCAACAATTTCTGCATACCCGGGAGTAACCTAAGCCACTTCTTCTGCTCAAACAGCTTCAATAGCGCCCCAGTCCTGCGTACATCGGATATGCTCTTCTACGACGTCAGGAGTTGCCTCTACCGATGAGGGGCCATCTAATCTCGTCAGGGAATCAGGACGTCATCAGATTAATCGGAAACCCGGAAACTCCCCCACCCAACGACACAAGGACTGCCTCTTCGTCTGCTCGTATAATTGTCGGACTATTGCATCGGATGCTGATCTCCGAACACTTCTGCTGAGGAGTCGTCAGATCAAGTACGATGTTATCGCTATACAAGAAACGAAGGGCAGAACGGAAACCATTAGGAAAACCGATCACAACGAGCTGCTTATTGTTGGAGCCAAGGTGGATGGCAAGAATGTCGGCGGAGTTGGATTTCTCATAAACCAGGCAGTGGTCCATCTAGTAGACTCTCACAAAATCATCAGTCCACGCATCGCTGTTCTACGCTTGCTGACCAAAGATCAAGGAGCCATATCCATTATCAATGGATATGCACCCACCTCCACCGCCACTGACGAAGAACGCGAAGAATTTTACCAGCTTCTGGAAGATACGATTCAGAATGAGAGAACTTACTACAAGTATGTGGTTGGTGACTTCAATGCCCTTATAGGCACGAACCACAACGGCGATTGGCGACTCGGGCCCCATGGAACGAACAGTCGAAACGAGAACGGAGAAAGGCTGCTTGACTTGCTGTCTGCATGTCGCCTTTATCACGGAAACTCTATGTTCGAGAAGCCGACTGGACGGCGATGGACCTGGGAAAGTCCAAATGGAGAAACGCGCAAGGAAATCGATCACATCCTAACCAATCGACGCTGGAGCCTATTCGACGTATCAGTGCTGCCGTCATTCGATACTGGCTCAGACCACCGTTTGATACGTGCCAAAGTATGTCTCAAGAAGAAATTATTCAAGCGCGACAGGCATAGGCCCTTACCTTCGAGGAATCCCTCCTACAACACTGAGCAAGGGCTTGCATTGAGGCTCATAGCTGGCATTTGCTGGACGACCCATCAGAAGATTACAAACATCTGGTCGAAGGTCTGTCCAAGTGCGCAGAGCTTTCGCGACTTGCGCAATCAGATTCCAGCCCAAGGCTCAATGATGTCGCAACCACTTTGTTGGAAAAAAGGAGGGCAATGAAAATGGACCCTAATGCCACGCACTTGGAAAAAGTCACCATCAACAAGGCATGCCGGTTTGCCGTCAGAGAATCACTCCGAGCTTACAGAAGAACTAGACTGCTGAAGGCGGCAGAAACAAGATCGAGCATCAAACGCTGCAAACGAGATCTGAACGATCAAAGAAATGTCATTTCAGCTCTTATGGACAAGGATGGAAGAATACAAACATCTAGGAAGATCTATCGAGGAAATCGTTAGTGGTTTCTACACGAATCTCTTCCGCTCTTCCACAAACGTCCCTAGATGCTCTGCACCGCCTGCTGAAGATCCCCCTCCTATTCTGGAAGCGGAAGTTGCAAATGCGATCAAAAAGATGAAGAAAGGAACTGCTCCTGGACCCGATGGCATATCTGCCGATCTTCTTCGTGCAGGAGGAAAGTCCCTTCACACACTCCTCGCAGAGCACTTCAGTCATTACCTGCAATTAGGAATGATTCCAGAACAGTGGAGAGAATCGAGAACAGTTCTTCTGTTCAAAAAAGGTCAGAGAGAGGAGATTGCCAACTACCGACCTATCAGTCTGCTCTCGACGATATATAAGTCGTTCACGAAAATACTGCTCAACCGTATGGAACGCATCTTAGACGACTATCAACCACCAGAGCAGGCCGGCTTCCGCAAGAATTTCTCCTGTATGGACAACATACAGGCAGTAACACAGCTCATAGAGAGGAGCCGCGAGTACCATCTTCCACTTGTCCTCGTCTTTGTGGACTACAAAAAGGCCTTCGACTCAGTGGAGGTTAATGCTGTTCTCAACGCCCTTGTGCGAGCCGGAGTACCCTCTGCCTACATTCGCCTGCTCGAACAGAGTTTATCGAACACATCAACAACCCTGCAACTGTTCGAGCGCAAGGTAAAAGTACCCATTGAGAAAGGGGTACGGCAGGGGGACACGATATCCCCGAAGTTATTCACGGCAGCACTACAGTATGCGATGTCAAACCTCAACTGGGATGACAAAGGATACTTGATTGACGGGAAAAGGATAAGCAACCTCCGTTTTGCAGATGATATCGTTCTGATATCCGATAACACAGTCGAAATGGAAGAGATGGTAAACGAGCTCGACATGATTGGTCAGAAGATTGGCTTGGAAATGAATATGTCCAAAACGAAAATGATGGTGAACCACTGGTGTGACGCGGGAACCGTGAAATTGGCAGGAGTTGCTCTCGAAAGAGTGGATTCCTACGTGTATCTGGGAAGAGAGCTAAACATGCTGAACAACATCTCTGCTGAAATAAGCCGCAGGAGGCGTGCAGCATGGGCAGCTTTTGGAACGATTCGTGAAGTAACGGAGCAAATTAAGGACCCTAACCTAAGAGCCTCGATATTCGACGCCACGGTGCTACCAGCGATGTGTTACGCGACCGAAACCTGGCCTGAAAACAGGACAATCACCAAGGCAATGCAAACTACGCATCGTGCACTGGAGAGATGTCTTTTGAAGGTCGGCCGCCGCCAGCAATGGCAACAAGGTCTACGAAGTACAGACCTAAGGGAGCGGTCGAGATTGAAAGATCCGCTGCAGTATATGGCGCAGTGCAAACACCGCTGGGCTGGTCACTTGCTCCGCCGCAATGATGACAGATGGAGTCTCCGCATCACAGAATGGCTCCCAAGGAACGCAAAACGGCCTCTGGGACGACCACCAACGCGTTGGTCCGACTCGTTTTTGAAATATTTCAGAGAACGCGGTCCACCACATTGGATGCAAGTCGCCAGAAATCGTGCGTTATGGAAGAGCTGTGGTCCCCACTGAAGATCAAGCCAGTTGAAGGACCATCAAAGTATCAAAGTAAGTAAGATCCCTCGATGACCTTTCCCGGTGTATGGACTGCTCTACAACTGTTTCACAGTTTTTTCCGTTTGGCTCCGCCTACCAGCTATAAATGCACTAGTGAGACTAATATTATTGGTACCCGTACCTACAGAACAAAAATCAAATTTGTCTCTAGTTTGAAAAGAGGAGCTGGTGATCGACATATCCAAATTCTACAGGGGATACCCAATCGCTGACTTTGCCGCGCTGAAGCGAGTCCAGTATGACTGTTTGCGGCCGACTGGCGCGTCGTCAACTTTCTATGATTTAGAAGCGATGTTGTACGCATTTGCAAGCGGGTGATGGTCAACTCCCAATTCGCCCATCTAATTTCTCAGACAACTAACGTAACATGTTTCCACCCCTGTCTGGTAATTTTTCGTGCAGAGACACCAGAAACTACATTATCGGATTTGAACCGCATCTGTGTATGGGCAGCCATTCCGTCTTGACCGCCGAAAAATATTTCGCGTGGGAAAGTGCGTCTTTACTCTTGTGTCGTTAATTTATCAATAGCTTCATCATCAGCTTGCTTTTAGGTTCAACTGATTACCATGTAGTTAGTCATTTTAATTAGTTCGTCGTCGTTTATCATTTTCGCACGGAGTTCCATGATAACATTGAATAGAAAATCCAATGTCGAATATCAAACGGGAAAGTAGAACAGGGAGAACTAAGAAAGAAACTGCTACATGCACGTAAACGGTGCTCTTCCAGGACCTAATGAATAAATGTGCCGATACCTGAGAAAGCAGGGTACTATAGAAGGAAACGGAACCTCTTTCGATTGTTAGCGTTTCTCTACGAGGAACTTGCTCCTCATTCAGCGCCAACTAGCTATGTTCGCGTAGTAGTCCCTACATTTTGCATTGGTATAATCTTGTCGAACTGAAGCAGTGAATGAAATTCAAGAAAAGGCTTCTTACCGGATAGGTAGCGATCTGCGGTTATGAGCAAGACAGTAAGTATTGAGACAAGACAAAGTGTGTAATCAAGGAAAAGCCACGTCTGACATGCGAACATCCCAAGTGGCCAACGTTCTCCTACAACGGCTTTCTTTTCTTAGACCTTCATTTATGTCATTTATGAAAGTGAAAACAATGATTGAGAAAATTCTGGCTATATATACCATTTTCACTTTAAATCGGACACTTTTCAAACCAAATCGGACACTTTTCAAATCAAATCGGACACTTTTCAAACCAAATCGGACACTTTTCAAACCAAATCGGACTTTTCAAATCAAATCGGACACACCCCTTACAATAGGCAGTTGATAACTAGACCACACTAGGTACTGCTGCAAGCCCCGCCCCAACACCCCGCCCACCTTTCCAGCGCGGTCACGGTTTTCCAAAATGTTTTATGAAATCTGCTTCGACTTTTTCTCACTTTTGCTAGTTGCACACACACTTCAACTGAAAAGGATTGGTA